CCAATTCTTTTGCGACACTATGGCCTGTAGCCCACCAGGCTCATCTGTCCGTGGGATTTCCCAAGCAAGAATACTAGAGTGGGTTGCTATTTCCTTCTCCCAGGGATCTTCACAACCCAGGGATCGAACCCACATCTCCTGCACTGGAGGCAGATTCTTTACCACTAAGGTGCTTGGGAAGCCCACTCTACAAGAGAAGCTACCAAAATGGGAAGTCCATGCACTGTAAAAGAGAGTAGCCCCCACTCACCACAGCGGAGAAAACCCTCACACCACAATGAAGACCCAGCACACCTAACTGAAAAGAAAACAGTCACAAAACTGTTTTTTAAAGAAGGTGCATGTAGGCTGGCCTGTCATAGACCTGACTAGACCTCATCCAGTCCACCTCTTCTCCCCAGGCACTTCCCACGGGGAGCCAAGGGGGCAGGAGCCTTGGAATCATGGGAAGCAGTCATGAGCCATGGAGAAAGGGGAGTCCCTTGGGCAAAAATACAGTCAGCATCTCTTAGGGGACTCTCAGCCTTGTTCATCTGAGTTACCTGCCTTCCCTATTCCACCACTTGGACTGTATTTTTAGGATTGTTCATTAGCAAAACGTTTATCAACCCTTTTATAGATCAGTTACAAAACAGAAACTCTTCCTCACTGCTCTGGAGAAGTATAGAAGGGGCGGGTGGGTAGGGGGAGGGAGAAATAACAACCAAAAAAAAAAAAAATCTTGCCTGTAATTGAAGGCAGGTTGGGAGATGTTCACGCTTTGAAATTCTCCTTCTTGTGAAATGTTTATGAAACACTTTCCACAAACGAGTTATGCAACTGGCACTACAGCTTTGATCGTTTTCATTGCCAGTGATATATTCATTAGTGTCGGGTTGTTTTTCCCCCAGGAGAGGGCCATGTGACATGTCACGGGGAGGGGGCTAAGGCTAAGTACTCCAGCCCCCAGTGCCCCATCAGATGGTTGATAAGGAAGTTCAAGTGTATGTGTGGACCACAGCATCACCTTTTCCATCACCTATAGTCTGTTCTCTCTCCCATCCCCGGGAAGTGTGTAGTACTGTTTTGTAGAAAGAGTGCCAGGGGAGGGTCAGAGGACCATTCCTGTGTCAGGGTTTAGCCAGTGTCCTGTTGTGTAACTGTACACCCATCTCTGAAGCACTCCTGGTCTCCGTGAGATAGGAAGATAAGCACTTGTCTTCAAACTTCCTGACTGGGAGGTGAAGTTAAGTAAGGAAAGTTTGAAGGGTTTCTAGTTCATCATAAAGGGCTCTCTCTTCCCAGAACAAGACTATGTATTGCTTTCTATAAGCAGGTGACGTCAGGGAGTTCACTGGGATTAGGAAAGATAATCACCCATGATACCTCTTTACCTCTCTGGTCACTACCCAAGACTCAGTGTAACTCAGCATAATGGTTGGAGAAGATCCTAAACTAACTAACTGTGTCTAATAGATGGGCAGAGTGATTGATGATGGCCTTGAGTGGGCCTTGACCGGGCAGAGCCCTCTGTGGTGGCTCATGTCCCCAGGGATCAGTCCATCACAACAGGGCCTGGAGAATTAATCTACTGGAGTGAAAAGACGCTCCAAAGGGACCCTGCAGGTGATCTTCACAGTTTCAGGGAAGCTGTGGGTTTGGTGGGGTTTTCACAAGTATGCAGGAAATTGAGTTTTCGTCCAATTTGCCTCTGGTTCTCACATTATAAGTCAATGGGATCCAACAGAAGTCTCTCTATCTCATCGTCCCGATCCACAGCCAACACCCAGTTGCCTGGAAAGACTCCAGTGTTTTCCATTTGACAGCCATGAGAGGGATTTTTGGATTTGGAAGGGACTTGATTTCTTAGTTTCTTAGCCTCTGAACTCTCCGAGAGTAATCAGAGAAGTGTGCAGGGGGCGGCAGAGGCGTGGGAAGCAGACAGAGTTGCTGCCGTGTCTTCTCCTCCTCCTAGTCCAGTTCAGCTCTTTCTAAGACTCACTGACCAAAGTGGAGATTTTAGAACTTCTCACAGGAAAAGTCTTCTGCTTTGCTGTCTTTCAAATTGGTTTCTTCAGGATTGCCTTCTTTGGGGTTCACCATCAGCAACTCATACCCAAGAGATAGTAAATGATGAAAAATGAAAGAATAAGGTGTTGATAAAGCAAAAACTCAGATGAGTAACACACAGAGTTGTCAGAACACCCCCAGGCTAACACCCAGGGGGATGTTTTGCTATCAGGAACCTCATTTTCAGAAGTGGGAGGTCGGCAGCACCCCTGAAAGAGTGTGGAGGGCAATTGATCCAGAAAGCAGATGAAAGGGTGCATTTTCTTTTATGATGGCACTGGTTTCTGAAATTAAGTGTTGCAGGAAGACCTGGCACTGATTCTAACAGATAGCACTCAGGTTGGAGGCAAAGCGCATGTTTTCAAGCTCTGTCATAGCTGCACCTTCTTATCTCCCCATTGCGCATAATGAGTCTATAAAGGAACCCTGCCACTTGCCTCCGAGCTGGAACCCTGCCAAGCTACCTGCGGCGGTTCCACCAGCGTGCTGTGAGCTCCGATTTTCCATGTTCTCCCTCCGTCTCCCTTCCTCCATCCTGTCTCACCTATCCCCACTGGGGATGAAGGATGCCTGGGAGAACGAGGGGAGTGCAAAAGAGGTGTGTGGGGAAGGGAGGCTTTGCCTAAGTAAAATCTCCCCTCTGAGCAAAGCTTGAGCTTGGTGGTGATCTGAAATAAGTAGTTTATCATCTATTTTGAGCTTTCAAAAATCTGCTAACGAATGTTTCCCTGGAATCTAGGATGTGAAAATTCTAACTTCTGGGGGAAGAACTAGGACACCGGAACTTCTTAGATGGAGATGCCAAGTATGGTGGGTGGGGAGAGCTGAAGGGCATTAGGGGTGGGGATGGAGGATGTTCTGGAGATCACTCCTGGGGAGCAGTGCCCATGGAGTTTTCTGGATGTCTAACTCTTTGCCCCCACTAGGCTGTTCTCTGACACTCTGACTTTCTCCTCTTTGCTTCCAAGTTTCCAGAATAGTCTCCTTAGGCGAGGAAAGAGAGGAAAGATGTGTAAAGACCATCCCTAAAAGGAGCATCTTCTTATCACTTTTGGTACAAGCAGGGCTTCTTGGTGCTGTTTAAATCTGCTTTATCTAAGAGCACTGCAGCAACCTGGTGGAGCAAAAGAAAAATCACGTAGAATGCGGAAACCAAGTCTCACACAGATGAAATGATTGCTCAAGGTTATGTTGTAAACTAGGGTCAGAGTTGGGACTAGAAGCAGGTTCTAGCTCCCTGTTCAATGTTTTCCTCACTGTATCCCAGTGGAGGATGGGGAGAGAGACTCTGTTTGTGTCTTTGATTCAGTTTAACACACATTGGGTTCCCACTAGGTACGAAGCACCATATTTAGGACATGGGCTCCCCCCTCGGTCTGTGTCACTCAACAAGATCTTCCTAACTCTCCAACCAAAGGGAGTTCTTTCTTTAGTGATCCAAAGCACCATTTTCCCACAGCAGTTGAGCACAGGTAGAGCTGTTAGTCTGCACCTTTGACTTGTGTTAAACTAATGCAGACATGAAAGATTCCAGGATGTCAGTGATATTCCCAGCATAGCCCAAGAGAATGGTTTAAGCCAAGATTCCTATGGACAAGAGGTTTCAGCAGAGCCATACCCACCCCCGCCCCACCATGTCTTTTATAAGGTTCTGTCTGTATCCCAAGCTCCCTGCTGTATTATATGAATTCAAAGTCCCTTGCATACTCCCTATCCACCCTCCACCCCCACAATGGACTTTTTGAAAGCCTGCAAGAGGGTAGTTGTTCTCAGGGTGGGAGGAGCGGTGGGCACAGGTAGAACTTCCTGCCCTGCCCTTGGACACCTGGAAAACCCACAGGTGGGTGGTTGGTGCTGCCACTGAAGGGTGATAGAAGCTGGAGAGAGTGTGGAAACCACCACAGGCCCCGCAGGCTGCAACTTCAGCAGTGACTGTGAGGGAGCATGTCCCCACCTGCAGGGAGACAGGCAAAGTCTGTCACCCAAGCCGCATGGCTAAAGAAGCCGACTGCCAAAGCAGCTCAGCTCACAGAGGGCAGGTTAGTGTAGAAAACACAGGGGGATGGAGGGAAGCTGGTTCCCAGACTTTGGGATTTTGTGGACCAGGAAAATAAAAAACAGAATATAAGGGAGATTGGTAAAGAATTACCTTTTTCGCTTTTTTTTTTGAACTTTATAAAGTGGGGAGTTTTAAAAATACCATTTAGGGGGCTTCCCTGGTGGCTCAGTGGTAAAAAATCCACCTGCCAAGGCAGGAGACACGGGTTTGATCCCTGATCTGGGAAGACCCCACATGCTGTGAAGCAACTAATCCTGCCACAACTACTGAGCCCTCAGACTGCAACTACTGAAGCCTGTGCACTCTAAAGCCCATGCTCCACAACAAGAGAGGCTCCTGCACGTGCATCTGGAGAGCAGCCCCTGCTCACCACAACTAGAGAAAAACCTTCACAGCAGTGGGGACCCGGCTCAGCCATAAATAAACAAATAAATTTAAAAATGGAATAAAAATACCATTGAGGAGCCATTATCATTTGCAAAAAGAAATTCTAACATGTCACCCCCAAGAAAAAAGAATATCATCTAACAATCCAAAAGAAATGTTTGAAGTCACTACAAAAATTCTTCATTTTTTGAGTTTTAGTGAGGAAGAACGTATATTGCTGTACATACCAGCACAGACCATGGTGTTCAGGAGCAATCATTCCAAGTGGATCCCCCGTCTCGAGGACATTTACCCCGAGAGCCTCTCAACCTCTGTGCCTTACCAGCTGCCCTGACCTAAAGGACTCACATAGGCAGGAAAATCAAGCAGCCCAATAGGCGCTGAGCAAGTTTTTTGACTCTCGGGGCTTGTTGAACATCTCCTGCCTCTGTCTTCTACAAGTTTCCCCTTCCGTCTGCCTGAGGGGTCCTGAACTGATGCTTCTTCTCCCTGCCTCCACTTACAGATTAAAACTGAGGACCTCAGCGATTCCCTGCAGCAGACTCTCTCTCATCGACCATGTCACCTGAGTCAAGGACCTGCCATGATGCCCGGAAATCAAATGTCTGGGGTAAATGCCAGCTCGAGTCGGGGAGCCCTAATAGTCTCAGTGGGCCAGTGTGTTTCAGGCGAGCCTCCTGCAAAACACTTCACCTATGGATCTGGTTCTCAGTGGATCCAGATCGGGCCAAAGAATCCCCTGCAGGGAAACTTGGGTGTCTGAGGTGAGGTTAGGGTTACCAGACGCTCCTCAGAAAGATGAAGCCTGGCTACTTATGCAAAGAGGGAGGTCTCCACCCCTCTGGGAGAAAAAGCAGCCTGTCTCGTCAATTGATGGAGCTCGCAGCTGTGAGGCTGGGGTTTGCCAGCCATATTCAGTGGAGCCCCACAGTGACAGCTATGGTTACAGAGCACTTCCGTCCCAACTAAGCCCATTCTCCTTCCTCAAGAGTTTGTCAAGCTAGAAGGAATAAAGAGGCTCCTGAAACAGTAATGGCAAATGTCTGAGAAGGCTGGGTGTCCACAGGATGAGTCTCTGATATGGATTCCCCCAGGGAAGAAAGAGCCGCCTCTTCCCTGGAAATATTTAAGCATAGAATGTGCATTTATTCTTTCACTTCTTTTCAGCAAGAATTTACCAAGTCTTTTCTTTGTGCACAGACCTAAGCTCAGTCCTGGGGATCACAGACTCCTGTGGGTCTAGATCACAGAGGACTCCCAGGTCCCTGTATATTGGGACTGGTATTTCTCTTTGTGGGGTCTAATGGAAGGAACCCCCAGGGGAAATGGACTTTCTGTTTCATCAAAGTGTTTTTATTAAGAGCAAGTAACGGGCCTCTTCCTCCAGGAATGGTTTAGACCCTGGAAATGGCCAAGATAAAAATGGCCTTTAGTATAATCAAATGGCATGAGATTAAGAAAAAAAAAGTGGATTGCTTGTCATTTCTAAGGTAAACCTCTGAGAGATGGGTAATACCCACAGTCTGTGTCCTCGGGGCATTATCAGTCCAGCTGGGAGACAGTTCTGACACACACAAAAGTTAAATAACAAGGCAAGGTTAAGTAACAACAGGCTGCAAGGCATGGCTTGACTGAGGGCAGGCAGTGTATCAACAGCAGCATTAACGGGGCAGCTGCTATGTGCCAAATACAGGGACACACGGAGGCATAGGGCAAGCTCCCGGTGGATACCCTTGGGACAGACGGGCAGCGGGTGGATGGAGCCCGTGCTCCCAGCTTGTAAATTCTGTGATGTCTGTGTCTCCCCGCATAGGACATGGCCTCCCTCCACTCACTCCAGCAGCTCGTGTTGGTTCCAGGACACCTACAGTCTGTTTCCCAGTTCCTGCTATCTCAGACCCAGCCTGGGCAGCAAGGTGAGAACCCTGGGGGTTTTCTATATAGACAAGGGTGGTAAAGGGCTGCTCCTGCCTGCTGGGGACCAAGTTTGGGTGTGGGTGACCAACTCATGTGCGTGTGTGTGTGCTAAGTCACTTCAGTCCTGTCCAACTCTTGGCAACCCTATGGACAATCCATGGGATTCTCCAGGCAAGAATACTGGAGTGGGATGCAGTTTCCTTCTCCAGGGGAATCTTCCCCACCCAGGGGTCGGACCTGAGTCTCTTATGTTTCCTGCACTGGCAAGCGGGTCCTTTATCGCTAGTGCCACATTAGGGTTGGTGGGTGACCTGCTCACCCTCTGGTATCAAGAGCAGCTTATCCAGCTCAGGGCCTGAGGAAGGAACCTGGTATTGCCCTTCAGGTTGAGAATATTTCTCCTTTTGCCTCTCCCATCTTCCTTAATTTCATGACCAGTTGAAACCAAAGGTGAAGGGTGGCAGAGCCGGGGCAGAGCGAGGAAGGAGGAACTCTTTGGGAAACGCAGTCCCAGTTCCTTGGAAACCTCCCCAGGACTGAGGATGTGGTAACAGACGCCCGCCCTTGGGGAGATGCAATTTCGTTTGTGTGGAGCGGCAGCGCCACCCACGGGCTATGCAGAGTATTCTCGGGTTTCCTCCAACAGGGAAGTTCCTCACAGAGAACTTCTTGGCCAAGAACAAACAGATTAGAATATTCACGGTAATAACTAACATTTCTTGAGCTTGATATGCCAAGAGTTCTGTGGAGGGATTTTTCTGACATCTTTAAAAATAACCTCGAATGGTAGGTGGTCTTATGAGGTCACCAGTGACCTACTAGAAAGTTCCATAAGTCTGTCAGAAGCCCATTTTTTTTGGCATTGCATGGTACTGCCCCACCCTCTCCCACCTCCACCAACTAGAGCTGAAAGTGATGAAGTCTAAGCTTCCCTCCATTGTTCAAATCCCAAAGAGAGGCTTTGGAGATCCAGAATGCAACAAAAACGCAATCTTGCCTTCTGTCCTTAGCACCTGCTCCAGTGATAGGTATCCTTAGTTTCCAAGTCATCTCAGAGTGTTATGATGATGATGAATGAGGACATATGTGAATCTGTGAGTATCTGCATTCACTAACCAGTATACATCCTACTCTTGGTATAGGAAAGGGAAGTTAATAGTTAATTCTATTTCTTTTTGAAAAATGGTATTGTGAAACTGGCTCAGGCATAAAACCAATGAGGCTAGTGTGTGACACAGAGGGGCAATACAGTTTAGTATTTAGAATCAGAAAAACTCATTGGTTAAAAAAAGTCACTTACTAGCTGGGTCTCCTTGAGAGCCCTACCTGACCTGAGGTTCCTTTTTCTTCTCCCTAAAAATGGAATCATAGTAAAACTCTGCCTCAAAAGGTTACTGAGAGTTATTTGAAATAATGCATGCGAGAGGGCTTTGTATGTTTCAAAATGTAATGTAAATGTCAGATCACTATTGGTGCTCATACCTCTGACTCTCAGTACAGGGTTACTTATAGGAGCTTTCTTGCTTATGTATTTTTAACTTAATTATTATTTTTTAATGTTTTATATTGTGTTGGGATATAGCCAATTAACAACGTCATGATAGTTTCCAGTGAACAGTGAAGGGACTCAGCCATACATATACATGTTTCCATTCTCCCCTGAACTCCCCTCCCATCCAGGCTGCCACAAAACCCTGAGCAGAGTACTCTGTGCTACACAGTAGGTCCTTGTTAGCTATCCATTTTAAATACAGTGGTGTGTACATGTCTACCCCAAACTCCCTAGCTGTCCCCCCATTATTCCTCCGGCAACCATAAGTTTGTTCTCTAAGCCAGTGAGTCTCTTTCTACTTTGTAAATAAGTTCATTTGTCTGGGGTAAATCATTTCTCTTCAGATTCCATATATAAAGGATGTCACAGGATATTTCTTCTCTATCTGACTTACTTCACTCAGTATGGCCATCTCTAGGTCCATCCATATGGCTACAGATTTGCCTATGATATTTTATTTTTCTTGCCTATGTATTGTAATAAGGAAAACTTAAGCCTTCGGGGCCTCTGTTGTCGCTAAGCTGGTGTAGCATTTCTTCATTCTGAAGAGTACAGTGGTCAGTCTCAGTAGATGCTACACATCAGTGACCAGAACAGCTTCAGGACAACAGAGACCCCAAGGTTCTGCTCTGTGCTGAGTGCATGGGGTGACCTGCCCCGTCATGTGCTTTGGTAGTTGGGTGGCTCCATTCCCATAATGGGAGTGACAGTTCCTGGCTGTGGCTCTTCTCAGAGGGAGGCCATTGTCAGGAGCACCAACCAAGCAGAGCGCTCCATGTACGGTTTTCCTGGAGCAAGAAGGAGGAAGCAGACCTCAGGCAGTGCGAACAAGCAGGTAGAGTCCATACCACCAGCGAGAGTTGCCAGAAGCTTGGCCTGGGCTCTTCCCTTCTCTCTCTTAGCCCTTCCTCCCAAGTGTACAATGTCTGGGTCCTGCCAAGAGCCTCTGGCACTTGCCAGCTGCCCTTTAGAGCTATATGGCTCCGTTCCTTTGACCTGGCATCTTTGCAGATGTGGCTAGGCCTCCCTAACCATCCCAGCTACTTCTGCAGGCAAAACCAAAGCCCTCAGCCCCAGCTTGAATTCTGAGTGGTCACCCCCCTCATTTCCTTCCCACCTTGGTTTTCCCAGAGCTGGTTTCCTTGACCCTCCTCAGCCTTTGTACCACTCTAGGCAGGCAAGCAGGCAGGCAAGCAGAAGGACTGGTTTGGGGACTGCTGTTTACATCTGTTTATCCCCATGTCTGATTTGCCTCCACCTGTGTGTGGCAATCCTGACAGTGCCTGTGGCGGCCTTTCCTCGGGGCTCCGGGGGAGTTGGGGGGATTAAGTAGTGGGGGGGGGATGGTTATCAGGTAGAGCATGTCTTTCAGCTGACCTGAATTTTATGCGTTTGTTGCTTTGTTCTTCCCCTTTCACCCAGGTCTGCAGCCGAATCTTCTCCCCTTTCCACAGCAACAGAGCTCCCTCCTCCTCCCGCAGACAGGGCCTGGCCTGGCATCCCAGGTAAACACACATGCTCCTCCTGTCCCCTCTAGGAACCTCTCAGCTCTTGATGGAATTAAGTTCCCTGGTTTCTCCCTCCGGGGAGGGGAAATAGCAAGGGGTTGTCTCCATTGACACAGAGGGGGAAATTCAAGTCACATTCAGAGGAAATGAGTGACCCAGTGTCACTCGTGGAGCCAGAATTAGAAGCCAGAGATCCCATCTCCTGGGCTAGCCTGCTCTGGACACAGGCATTCCATCCCTCCCCAATCAGGCCCCTGTATCAGTCCTCTGCAGGGCTCAGCTAACTTTCCAGGGACACCAAGGTGACTGCCAACCCTCCTGATGCTCTCAGGTCCCAAGGAGGAGACCAGAGATTCACAGACTTGATGTGAGGAGAACAGCAAGACAGGGTTTCTCATCTCTGGGCCTCTCTCTCTCTCTTTTTTTTTTTTAATTTTTTTTATGGGCCTCTCTTAAGAACCACTCTTTGAGGGACTTCCCTGGTGGTCCAGGGAACCACCACCAGGGAATGCTGCGCTTCCACTTCAGGGAGCACAGATTCGATCCCTGGTCAGGAAAATGAGATTTCATGTGCCACGTGGCAGGGCAAAATATATATATATACATATATATATACATATGTATATGTATATATATGTATGTATGTATAACTGCTTTTGTAAATTGGCTTCTGTAGTGGACAGGTGCCTGGGTTGGGAGGACTGAGGTCTGCAAGAGGGCCCTTTGCAGAGCTGCCCTGGCGCCACACAGCACCTGTTTGCCAGCGAGAAAAAAAGGCACTGCTTCCTCTGGCCAGAGGCAGCCTCACACCAGGGAATGTGGCTTGGCCAGAGAAGCTGGAGTTACATCAGAGCTGCCACCCCTCCCCTCATTTAGCTGCCCCATGCAGTTAACCCCTGCACCACTGCATGAGATGGCTCTGCAGAATCCGACGTGTAGAAGAGCTGGGAATGACTGCAGAGATCCTAATCCTTACTCTGTGCTAAGATCCAGGTGGATTGCCCCTGGTTTTACGGTGCTAGAGTCTACGGAACTTCTGGAAGAGCCGAGGGTGCCACCTAGTGGCTAATAGAAACAAGGACACCAGTGTTCTAAGCTCTCAGACCTCTTCCTTACTGCTAGTGGAATCTCATCACCACAGACTTAGATCAGGAATAAATCTTAGAGGGTTCTGATGATCAACTCACGTGACTTATAACACAAGAGCCGAGCGAGACCAGAAACAGAAAGACTGTTTGGAATATTGTTAAGATCATTCTGGGGCAGCAGTAAAGAGACCTGCTTACAGTGGCAGCAGGAAGGGTAGAGGACGCGATGGTTAGACAGCATCACTGACTCAATGGACATGAGTTTGAGCAAACTCCAAGAGACAGTGAAGGACAGGGAAGCCTTGTGTCTGCAGTCCATGGGGTCAAAGAGTCAGACATGACTTAGTAACTGAACAACAGAAACAAGTAAGGGCAGAAAGGAGGGGCTGACAGGGGACATGGGGGAAGCTGACTCAAAGCAATTCTGCAGCTGATTGGATGTGCAGGAGATAGGCTTTGTCCTGAGGGTCTGGTCTGTGCCACCCAGTCCCCCACTGAAGAGGTTCAAAGCCTAGTGGTTTCAAATCATTCTGCTGTAAAAGAACCTCCCTCGGGGAAAAGAGTCCTTAACTTTTCTCCGGTCATCACAAGGCTGCCTGTCTGAATGGGAAGCCTAAAGAAAAGACTAAAGTTAACCCCAGTCTTGGAAAAGAGTAAACTGGGAAGGAAGTAAAAGAGTGGACTTAGACCATGTCATCCACATGGGTAGCAGCCACTGCCCTGGATACAGCCCCTTAGGACCCCAAGCCTGGGTTCCATTCCCTTTTCATGGACAAGTTGGGGTCAGGACTTACTCCTGACCCCAATAGGCATAAATTGGATTCCAGGTATAAGAGTCTGTTCTGTGAAAATAAACTAAAGAAAGGATATCTCCTGACAACTGTGAATGTGATCAAGGTGCACTTAGATAGCAATGGAATACCTTTGATTAAAAAAAAAAAAAAGCAGAAAGCAAAATATTCTCATGAAAGAAAATGATGGTTTAGAAAGTAAAATGGTGGTCATGAGAGTTTGGAATTTTATGGAAATTCCATTAACATAATGAGTCTCAGATGCCCTCTGTTATCTTCAGTTAATGCCTGTTGAACACCTCAGTCACTTTGCTTTGTGGAAAAGAAGAGAAAAGATAAACAACCTTTTCCTTTTCCCATTTTGAGATTTGTTTTGGGGATCTTTGTAGACAACCCTGCTAGCTCCTTTTATGGTGGAAAACTGAAAGAAGGAAGTTACCTGCTCAGAGTCAAACCATGAGTCATAGACTAAAACCCAGAAAGGCCACCGCCCTGTCCCACACTCCTGCTGTTTCTGCCCCAGCTACTCTTGCTGGTCCCTTCATATTGTTGTTGTTTAGTCACTAAGTCATGTCTGAGCGACCTCATGGACTGTAGCCTGCCAGGCTCCTCTGTCTGTGGGATTTCCAAGGCAAGTATACTGGAGTGGGTTGCTATTTCCTTCTCTAGGGGATCTTCCCGACCCAGGGATCAAACCTGCATCTTCTGCATTGGGATTCTTTACCACTGAGCCACCCAGGAAGCCCAGTCCCTTCACAGAAACTCCAGTTTTCACTTCTGCAACACTGAAATAATAGGAATCCAACCTGTTAGCCTCTAAGCGGGCCTTTTGTGCAAAAAGCTCAGAGAATGCCATTTCATCTGTTGACTATTTGTGGGTGAGCTTGGTGTGTGTCTCCTCTTAGGCAGTTGGGCGCCCTGGGCTACCAGGATCTTCTTTAGAACCCCATCTGGAAGCATCTCAGCATCTCCCGGTGCCCAAGCATCTCCCCAGCGCTGGAGGAGCTGACGAGCCCAGTGACCTGGAGGAGCTGGAGAAGTTTGCCAAGACCTTCAAGCAGAGGCGCATTAAGCTGGGCTTCACACAGGTTTGGTTTGGGACTGAGGAGGTGGAAGAACTTGGGCTGAGTAGGGACTAGACTTCCTAAGTGTAGTCTTGAGAACAACTCAAGCTCATGGTGTTTGGGGCAAACCCACTGTGCCCCTGTGTCCCCTAACAATGGGGCACAGTTGCTATTGGTAGGGAAGCCAGGGCCCCTGCTGGTGGAGGGGGTGAGGAATGAGAGCCAGGCCAGGGGAAAGCACAGACCACTCAGAGTCTAAGGAGAGGAGTAACCAAGTCTCCATCTTAGAGGAAGAAACCTGAAAGGGAGCCAGGGTGATGGGTGGGAGCTCAAAAGGTGTGGCCAGGAGCTAGGATGGTGGGGGATGTCAACAAAGGGGAGAAGGGACCTGTCAATCAAGTTCCTCCCTCTTTACCCCCACATGCAGGGAGATGTGGGTCTGGCCATGGGAAAGCTATATGGTAACGACTTCAGCCAGACAACTATCTCACGATTTGAGGCCCTCAATCTGAGCTTCAAGAACATGTGCAAGCTCAAGCCGCTGCTGGAGAAGTGGCTGAACGATGCAGGTAAGCCTTGGGGACATGACGATGGATGGTGCCTTAGAGCAGTGGTCCCCAGTCTTTTAGGCTCCTGGGACTGGTTTTCATGGAAGACAATTTTTCCACACCCCAGGGTTGGGGAGTGGCTTGGGGATGATTCAAGTGCATTACATTTATTGTGCACTTTATGTCTATTATTATTATATCAGCTCCACCTCAGATCATCAGGCATTAGATCCCAGAGTTGGGGGACTCCTGCCTTCAAAGGTCTGCAGGAAGGGGCTGGTGACTGGTCTATGCTGGGGCTTTCAGTGGTCTACGCACAGGGCCCTTTCCTCTCTTCCTGGGTCTGGAACCAACAGAAAAATAAGACACTGGAGGCAGGCTAATAGAGATGAAGATGTCAGCTTCATTATGGGAAAAGCCATGGAGGACATGGCTTTAGGTCTGTGGCCACAAAGACTTGCCCTATTTTATTCCCTACTCCAGACCTGCCTAGCCTTACCATAGGACTGCTCAACAGAGACAAAGGTGGGGTCTGCAGAGCCAACACACCCAGACTACTGTCTGGACTGGGTCTAGAGCAGGGGGATAGGGAATGGGGTTCTCCAGGGTCTCATGGCTGGGAGGAGGAGGCAACAGACATAACCCAAGATCTTTATCTGGCTAATTCTTGAGTAGGTTTTCAGAGGGCAGCAAGTTACTGAGAGCTAGACTGGTTGGGAAAGCATTTCAGCAGGAGTGGGGTTTGCAGGAGGATTCAGTCAGGTGTTTTGGCCATGGAGGCAATTCCAGGAGGCCCAGGGTATAAGCCAAGGGCAAAACATTTGGAATAATGAACGGAAGAGTTTGGTGTCAGGGAACAGCGTGGGACAGGGTTCTTAGCCATGCATTAGCAGTATCTTGGGACAGATAATACTTCTTCATGTAGGCTGTCCCGTGAATTATAGGCTATTTAGCAGCATCCTTGGTCTCTACACACTAGATGCCCACTCCCTGTTGTAATATCCAAAATGTCATGAGATAGTGCCAGATGTCCCCAGGGGCAGGGTGGGGGTAGCACAAAATCGTCCCAGGACATTGATCTCAGTGAAGAGGGAGGAGCAGAGCCAGTGGGGGGGTGGGGGGGCTGGGCTCTAATCTGTAGATAGTGTAGCTTAATGGTTCCTCTGGGGCTTCCCTGGGGGCTCAGATGGTAAAGATTCTGCCTGCAGTGCAGGAGACCCGGGTTTGATCCCTGGGTCATGAAGATCCCCTGGAGAAGGGAATGGCAACCCACTCCAGTATTCTTGCCTGGAGCATCCCATGGACAGAGGAGCCTAGTGGGCTATAGTCCATGGGGTCACAAGGAGTCAGACACGACTGAGCGACTAACACTCACTTCCCAGTGGTCACTATGGAGAAAGAGGAGAGTGGGAGATGGGCAGCCAAGGGTGTGCCCCTCTTGGAAGTCCCTCCACACAGAAACAAGGGAGGGGGTAAGGAAGCATCCCCACCAGGCAGACCCTTGGGCAGGTTTTACTGGAGCGCTGAACTGAGAGAGATGACCAGAGAGTCTTAGGATCTTTGGGAAAGGACCTTGCAGATGTCTTCTGGCGTGACTCCCTGTCTGCGCCTGAATGCTTCTGGAGGGCCCTCCCAGTTAAGCCCTCACGCCACCTCAGCTGCAGCACTCACGCTGCAAAGGAAGTGGCCTCACACCAGCATCCGGCCGCCAAGGGCCATTGCTTCTAGCTCAAAACCCCAGTTCCCATTTCCCTCAGGATTCACATCCAGGCCTTCTTGTAAAAGACAGACCCGTGAGTGCCACTTGGAGCCCTGCCCTCACCCACTCACACCCACACATGCCGCTGATGTCTGGGTGTCCCTGAACCATGACCGCAAACACTGGAGGCACCGCGGTGGGAGGCGTGGAGGACCTTTACCCGGAGCAGTGAGGAGAAGCAGGATTCTCGGGCTGTTCCTGCTCCCCTGCAGTGGTGGGGGGGGGCGGCTGCGGACCTGCTGGGGAAGGGTCATGGGACCTCAAGTCCAGGGAGACAGAGCCTGCACCGGCTGCCTTCCCCTCTCTGAGCCTCCTCTCCTCTCCCACTCTGCACAGAGTCCTCCCCATCGGACCCCTCCATGAGCACCCCCAACTCTTACCCTGCCCTCAGCGAGGTGTTCGGGAGGAAGAGGAAGAAGCGGACCAGCATCGAGACCAACATCCGTCTGACTCTGGAGAAGAGATTTCAAGATGTGAGCAGATCCTTGTGGTGGGGGCAAGTGGGCTGACTTGCACAGGAGGATGAGCACACACGTACAGGTCCTTCAGCACCACCCCTGAGCCCCCCAACACCTGCCCTGGGAAAGGGTCAGAAAACAGAGACCTGCTCCTTCTCCAGGCGTTTGAGTGACAGGCTGGGTTCCAGAAACTTCCTCCCCCACTGACCCTGCTGGCCCTGACCTCTGTTTGGTACCCATGATCCCTCGAGCGGAGAGATTTAGACTGGGATCCAGAATCCTAGTGGAGAGGATTGTATCTGTATCCAGTTGAGATAAAGGAAGCAGAGCCTTGTGTACATATTCTTTACCTTCCTCATATTACTTTGTATTTTTCAAATAATATACATAAAATAAATACTCCTTGTAAAGAATTTGGAAAATGCAGGGAAGTAGGAAAAAAATTCACCACCAAACGTCTTCTATGTATGTCCTTCTATTTCTTTCTCCTGCACACACTTGCTTCCCTGGTGGCTCAGATGGTAAAGAATCTGCCTGCAATGCAGGAGACCTGGGTTCGATCCCTGGGTCGGGAAGATCCCCTGGAGAAGGAGATGACAACCCACTCCAGAATTGTTGCCTGGACAATTCCATGGACAGAGGAGCCTGACAGGCTACAGTCCAGGGAGTTGTAAAGAACTGGACATGACTGAGCAACTAACACTTTCACTTCACATACACTTAAATATTTGTGATCGTATTACATACACACATTGTTTTGAACTTGCAGCAAAAGTGTATTCTGGAGTCAGTATGTGGAAGCTAATAATACCAGTTATGTGCCCCATGGGAGCTGGGCAAGAGAAGAGGGATAAACATGTGGGGGCTAAAGAGCCTTTAATCAGGGTCCCTTAGGGACCAGCCTCCAGAGTTTCCATCCACACCACTCAGGTCCCTCAAGGATGTTTCCATGGCCTAGTTCTGCCTTACAGGCCACAGGCCTCCAGGTCTGCTGCCTCCCCAGCAGATCCCCCATGCATGTGACTGAGGACTTGATGGCTGCATCCTGCTGGCAGGATCATGAGAGCTGGCTTTTCCTTCTGCTGAAGTTTCTCAGAGCAGCAAGAGTAAGGGAGGCTGTAGAAAGGAGAGAAAGGGGGCTAAGATCAAAGATTGAGTTGGGGGTGGAAGCGGTCAAAACAAAGGAGTGATGGAGATACATATATATATTTGAGTGTGTATACAAATGTATGGGCTTCCCTGATGGTTCAGTGGGAAAGAAGTCACCTGCCAATGCAGGAGACTAGAGATGCAGGTTCAGTCCCTGGGTTGGGAAGATCCCATGGAGAAGGAAATGGTAACCCTCTGCAGTACTCCTGCCTGGAAAATTCCATGGATAGAAGAGCCTGGCAGGCTACAGTTCATGGAGCCGCAAAGAGTCAGACACGACTTATCGACTAACACACACACACACACACACACACACACACACACACACATATGCTTATCTCCTCTATAGTCTTGATGGGTCCACATGTTTTAACTCTATTGTTTCCTATTCTGAGGTAGGCAGGAAGAAACCAGATGAGAGAAGTTTTCCTCAGATTATGAGGAAAGAGTGGAACATGGGTTCTGGGGACTCAGCCTGCCCCACTCAGAAGCCGCATCAGCTTCTTCATTCAGAACTTCTCCTGGAAAAGAAGTGAGAGAAGAGCCTCCACCCTGTGTCAGGCCCTGCAGTTGACACACATTTTCTCCTTCAGTCTCAATAGTCCTATACAGTAGTCATTATTACTCTCCTTTCATAGATGGTAAGACTGAGGCTCAGAGAGGTTCGGAAAGTTTCCTGAGGCCACAGAGTGAGGGCTAAAACCACTATTCCATCTCAGGTCTGATTCTAAAGCTTTTGCTCCATCTATTGTTCTATCCTGCTTCCTGGAACATCTCTCCCCCACCTTCAATTCTTGGTCCTGTTCCCTTCTCCTCCTGATGACTCTGTCCCTTTGGTTTCTGTAGAACCCCAAACCCAGCTCTGAGGAGATCTCCATGATTGCAGAGCAGTTGTCCATGGAGAAGGAGGTGGTGAGGGTCTGGTTCTGCAACCGACGACAAAAGGAGAAGCGAATCAACTGCCCTGTGGCCACACCCATCAAATCATCCATGTACGGTTCCCGGCTGGTGAGTGGCCAGGAGCCAAACTGCCTGCCAAGCACTGGGGGGGATGAAGCCTGGAGGGCCAAGAATCTTCCCCATCCTAAGGAGGATGGGGGTAGGGGAGTATGGAGTAAATAAATAAGCAAAGAGATACTATATATCAAATATATATAATATAAAGTAAAGAAGAATAAGGAGATAGAATGTGATTGTAAGGAGCTGATCTTTCAGTAGAGGGGTGAGAGAAGGCCTCTTTGATAAAGTGAGATTTTATTGGGGATCTAAGTATTGAAAAGGAATGAAATATAAATATCTGGAGAAAGAGTTGTTCCAGGTAGTGGGACCAGAAAATGAGAAGACCTGGCATGTTTGAGGAACAACAAGGAAGCCAGTGTCACCAGGGCAGAGCAAGGAAGGAGGTGAGGAGTGGGAGATGAAGTCAGAGGAGTAACAGGGAAGTAACAGGAAGCCATTCACCAAGGAAAGGTCTCAGAGGCCATCAAAAGGACCCTGACCTTCATCTTAAGTGAAATAAGATACCACTAGAGAGCTGCCACGGGCTGCCATTTGGAGGTTAATATGTGTGGAAGTAGGATACCACCTGGGAGAGTTACAACAATCAGGCTTGGGGGGGGTGGTGAAGCTTGGGCTCGGGTGGAGGGCATGGTGGGGGGAGATGTGGTTGGACTCTAAATGGACTTTCACCATGAAGCCAACAATATGTGCTGTTAACTCAGGCAGGGAGTATGAAAAATGAGGCCAAGATGACCTCAATGTTTCTGACCTGAGCAACAGATTAGAAGGTGTTGCCATTTTTTGAGATCGTAAAGACTGTAGAGGAACAGGTTTGAAGGGTGGGGGAGGGGCAGAGAATTTAAAGCTGGTTTTATTAAGGTGGACTTAACTTCCTAGGCATCCAAGAGAAAGTGTCAAGTAGATGGTTAAATCTAGGACTCTAGAAAGCAAGGGGAGAAGTCAGGGCTGGGAATAATTTGAAGTTCAGGTAGACTGGAAGGCCTGGAGGGTAGAAAATATCTTCTCCATCCCTGGGATTGATGACGATTGAAGATTAAGGGAGGTGGGGATAATGGTGTTGTCCCATGATTTTAGCACTCAAGGGTGGCTGAAATCCAGCCTCATCCTGGCATATTTCATAAAGGTATACTATTGTTTATTCTTTCACCAAACATTGATCAACCATCTACTATGTATTGTTCTTTGTACCGAGTGCTGGGGATACACAAATAAATAATATTTGTCCCCTGTCCCAGAGGACCTCACTGCCTAGCAGAGGAGACAGACAAATAAACAAATGACAAACAACACGATGGTTTCTCTCAGAGAATTTAGGAGTAGCAGCTAACAAATCCTTGGGAGGTGGTGGTTAGGGAAGGCTTCCCCAAGGAGATAATTAATACCTGAGCTGAGTCTAAAAAGACACGAAGGAGTGAAGAGGCAAGTAAGTGTCTAGGGTGTAGAGTTCCCAGAGGAGAAAGTAGGAGAACCATGGTGCAGTGGTGTGAAGCAGGGTGAAGAGGGCGCATGCACAGAGCAGCAGGTGGTTCCATGTGGAGGACTTTTGACAGATAAGACTGCATAGATCAGCAGGGGCCAGATGGAAGAGATTGTGGACAGGGCTAAGGAAGATGAAGGCTTGGAGAATTGTTGACAGATTTGAAGCAGGGCATTGGCATTATCAAATTCGCTTTTTAAAACCATCACTCTGACTGCAGTCATAGAGGGTGCTTGAGAGGCACCAGGTTTGGTTTCAGAGATGAGTTAGATGCGACTGCAGTTATCCAGTAAAGATATGATGAGGGCTGAAGCAAAGCCATTTGGTTAAGAATGAGGGGGATGGGAGAGCTTCAGGAGATAATTAGAAGGTAGACTTATTAAGTCTTGGTTAATAACTTGAAAACTGGGTGGGAGCAGGGAGAACCATAAAGGGAAGAGAGTGCTTTGGGATGCCTCTCTGCATTCAGGATGGACTGACTGGGTAGAAGTTGGTGCTGATGATGGAACAATTATACATAGGGGAGGAACTGGCTTAGGAGTAGGAAAAAATGATTTCAGTTCCTTTTGTTTTTTTCATCTGGCTGTGCTGAGTCTTAGTTGTAGCATGTGGAATCTAGTTCCCTAACCAGAGATCAAGCCTTGGGCCCCTTGCATCAGGAGCACAGAGTCTTAGCCACTGGATCTCCAGAGAAGTCCCAATTTTAGTTCTTTACATCATTATGATATACAGTAAGACCTATGGGTCACCCAGGTAGGAAAGTCCCTGGGCACTTGGAATAATAGGTCTGGAGTTCAGAAGGAAAAGCCAGGATAGAGAAGTGAGCTGGGGAGTCATAAGCACACAGGTGGCGGTTGGAATTCTGGGTCAGGAGGGTCTTACCTGTGTAATTTGTACAGAAGAAGCAAAAAAGAAAGTTGAAATCCCAACCCTGGGAAACACCAGCATTTGAGGGCTGGGCAAAGGAAGAGGACCAAGGGGAGCAAATGAGAAGGTGGAGCCAGAAAATGCAAGAAATTGCAATGAAGTGGGTGAAGCAGCTGTAAGGAGCCCTGAAGGGTTGCCATGGGAACACCAAGGAAAGACCCCCAAACTAGGATGGGATGCAGGAGGGCCGACTCCCCAGTTTGTTTGGAGAACAGGTTGGGAGTTCATAAAAAGAACAGCATAGCCAGTAGAAGGAGTAGTCTGTGAGAGGCATCGAATTCTAAAACAACATGATGCATCTGGGGAACCACAAGGTTTTGGTCTGGCTGGAGCTAAGGGTTTAGGCCTAAGACAGAAAGGTTGATGAGAGCTGGATCATGGTGGGCTATGGATGCTAAATTACCCTCGAGGCTATGAGGAGCCATTGACAGTTTGAAGTTGGAGACAATATGATGTTCACTTCATTTCTTAAATATTTATTGAGCATACACCATCTATTTGGCACTGAGATGTGGCAGTGCACAGGACCGTTATTGGTGATCTCTGCTTAGAGTCTAGCAAGGACAACAGACATTAAACAAAATGCAATTTGTGATGAAGCTTCCAGAGAAGGCGTGTGGGTATTTGAGGGACCAAACCTAGTCCAGGTATCGGGGGCTTCTCTTTGGAATGATGGTCAAGTTGATGGCAGAAGAAAGAGTAGACTCGAATGGGGTAAAGGTCTGAGTTGGGGGTGGGGAAGGGGAGCAGGATGGCAGGGCAGAGGGGGTGTTGGGAAGAACATTCTCTGCAGAGGAAACAGTGTGTGCAAAGGCCCTGAGGCTGGGGTGAGCAGGGTGAGGAAGCACAGAAGGTTGGAATGGAGCACAGGGAGGGAGACAGCGTGTGAATGAGGAGGCTGGAGCGGTGGGCGGGTTAGATCCTGCAGGGCGTTGTAGGCCATGTGAAGGGAAGCGAACCATGCCATGAGAGATTCAGAATCTTTAACGATGGGGCTTTGTATAGAATAGTTGGGAGGTAGCTATCACCTCAGTTCAATCCGAGCTGGGGACACCAATGTGGAGAAAAGAAGTGGGAAGCATGGAAGAGACATACAGGAGCATGATGCGCTCTCATCGTCCATTGGATACTGAGCACCCGCCAAGTTCTGGATGCTGCAGCAGACACTGAAGATCCAGCAGGGGACCACACAAGCATCACACTCCCCTCATGAAGTCTCCAGCCTAGTCAGGGAGAAAGATGTTAAGTAAATAGTCACATTAATACTTGCGGCCAATGCTAAAGGAAAACAACCCTGAATATTCATTGGAAGGACTGATGCTGAGGCTCCAATAATTTGACCACCTGATGCAAAGAGCAGACTCATTGGAAAAGACCCTGATGCTGGGAAAGGTTGAAGGCAGGAGGAGAAGCGGGTAGCTGAGGATAAGATGGTTGGATGGCATCACTGACTCAATGGACATGAATTTGAGCAAACTCTAGGAGATAGTGAAGGACAGAGGAGCCTGGTGCGCTACAGTCCATGGGGTCGCAAAGAGTCGGACTCAACTGAGCGACTGATCAACAACAGTACTTATGGTGTCCTGAAGGAAGAGGGTAGAGAAAATGCTCTAATCTGGTCTTCTCCTCAGGTCTCACTGGAACACTGTCCTTGGGACTGGGACATAGTTTATTCTACTTCTTGTGTGAAATACTGTGAAATACAGTATATCCAAGATAAACTGTTAAGCAGAAAAAAAAGAAGAAAGCAAAAAAGGCAAAATTACTCAGAGCAGTGTGGGCAGAATGCTACTATTTATGTAAAAAACTTAAAGGGAGAGCCTTATCTCTGCTTGCACATGACAGCCTGTCTCCAGATAGAAGAGAAGAAGCTGGTTGCAGTGACGAAATAATTATTTATTTAAAAACAACAACAAATGTCTTGGGGTGTGTCAGCAAGCGGGGGGCGGAGGAAAAAAGGGAGGGAGATTATTGATAGCATCTCTCACCACGCTGCCCCACACCTGTCTCCACCCTTCGTGGGCCCCCAGCCTACTAAAGAGGCTCCTTGTGAAAGAGCAGGTCAATGAAAGCAGCAGAACCATTGCTGACTGATTAGGAAATGAGTGCATGCTGCATCCTGTCGGCACGGGATGTTCCAAACGAGGGGAGGGCAGGGGTGGCCTGTCACAGCTCCCTGAGCAGAACCTCCCGGCAAGGTCCTGGGCGGAGGCTGATCCGAGTGTCCCAGGACAGCTTGAGAAGATGAAGGGGGAGGAAAAGTATGCTGAGTTCAGCCCCAATGAAGAGGTAAACAGCAGCTCAAGACACAAAAGAGTTGACAACTTCTGCAGGAAGGCAGGGAACTAACATTTAACAAGCCGGGTACTCTTTGCCAGGCATTGAGTTAGAAGCTTAATGGACATTATCTCATTAAACCTTAATTAAAAGAAAATATGAGGGAGGTGTTACTGCTGTTTTACGCATGAGAAAACCAAATTTCAGCAGGGTTAAGTAACATGCCCCAGCTACACAGATAGTGGTGGAGCCAGGCCTCACTCCCAGATCTGTCGGGCCCCCATGTCTATTTAGGATAGTAATACTGAGGGTAGGGATTCCTGGACTGTTTGGGAAGGTTAAGCTACAGTATCTAAGGTCCCTTCCCAGCCCAGAGTTGATGATGCTGTGAGGTCTCCAGGGCGAGATGCAAAGCTTCAGAGACCTCACACAGTTCATCTCTTCCAGGGACTTCCAGAGAGTAGATGGTCCACTCATGCATCAAGATGCAAAGCCTGTGACAGGATGGTTAGGGCTGAGGTCTCCTGCCCAAGCAAGTGCAGGGGTCTTAAAAGTAAAAAATAAGCATTTCCACTATTCGTTTTTTAATGTTTATTTATTGGGTTGTATTAGGTCTTAGTTACAGCATGCAGGATCTTCATTGATCATGTGGGATCTTTGAGGCAGTGTGAGGGCTCAGTAGGTGCAGCATGTGAGCTTAGCTGCCCCGTGGCATATGGGATCTCAGTTCCCCAACCAGGGATTAAACCTGCATCCCCTGCATTGGAAGGTGGATTCTTAACCACTGGACCCCAGGGATGTCCCCACAGGGGTCTTTTGAAAAGGAAGAAGGGGCTGGAAATAAAGCAGCCACCCAGCAGTGTCAGCCACAGCAGCATCCTGGAGGCAGCTCCTCTCCTCGCCAAAGCATCTGAGCAAGGCCTCTTTGGTCTGGCAGTGCCCAGGCAGCCTTGCCAGGGGTCGCACTGCGGGGAGGGCCAGGCCTGGGGTCCGAAGGGAGTGGCAGGAGCAGGGCAGAGCTGGACCTGGGTGGTGTACGTGGTCCAGAGCCTTTCCTGTGACACAGAGCATGGGACATCGGTTTGGGATTAGGAAACCATCCAGGAAGTGGAGCCCTAGTCTCTGTGGAGTCTAGGGCCTAGCACCCTGGGAAAAGCTCCAAAAGACTGAGACGGAAGCGGAAGAGAACATTTACAAGCTTCTCTCACCTTTCAGGTGTCTCCCTCTGGATCTCTGGGCCCCCTCTCTGTCCCTCCAGTCCACAGCACCATGCCTGGAACAGGTGAGCTCTAAAAATAAGGTCTACTAGCATTCTTTTACAGAGAAGGCAATGGCACCCCACTCCAGTACTCTTGCCTGGAAAATCCCATGGATGGAGGAGCCTGGTAGGCTGCAGTCCATGGGGTCAGTAAGAGTCGGACACGACTAAGCAACTTCACTTTCACTTTTCACTTTCATGCATTGGAGAAGGAAATGGCAACCCACTCCAGTGTTCTTGCCTGGAGAATCCCAGGGACAGGGGAGCCTTGGTGGGCTGCTGTCTATGGGGTTGCACAGAGTCGGACACAACTGAAGCGACTTAGCAGCAGCAGCAGCAGCAGCATTCTTTTAGATAATGGGATAACAGAACTGCAAGATACTGACCTAAGTCAGTTCAGTTCAGTTGCTCAGTCATGTCTGACTCTTTGTGACCCCATGGACTGCAGCACACCAGGCTCCCCTGTCCATCAGCAACTCCCAAAGCTTGCTCAAACTCATGTCCATCGAGCCAGTGATGCCATCCAATCATCTCATCCTCAGCATTCCCAAAATGTGTTTCAGAAGATGTTAACATTTTTTGTAGGAGGAAAAGTCTTCCATGATCAAGTAAGTTTGGGGAATGCTGAGTAGGTAAAGTTTGAACAAGTGTTTTTGTTTTAATTGCCGCACTTCTCAGCCCACTTTATGTACAAATGCCTTAAACATAAAAATGAGCTATAGAATTTTCTATAGAACTCTATTTTTCAAAAAGTATTTCAAAGCATTTCAAAGAATTAGATAGGGTGGCCATATGTCTGGATTTGCCCAGGACAGTCCCAGTAACTGATGGTCCCCTGTGTTGATGTCATTATCAATACTATTGCCTTCGACCCTTCAAAGCATCTTAGCTTGGAGGATGAAATCTATGTCACCTTATCCACGGAATGCTATTTGGGAAACCCAAATACAGGAGTTCAGTTTTATCCAGATTTGCCGTATTAGAGGTCACAAAGGGATTGCAGGGAAGTGAAGCAAGTTGCCACAGGCCACAGAGCTCTTTAGTGGATGGCCGGGACTCCTCCCGTGCTCCTTCTGGAAGACCACATACCATGTGGAGATGGGAACCCCAGAGAGGCTGGCAATCTTGACCTGTGCTCTCAGCTTCTCTTTTCCTCTCTGAACATTCTTCCTTCTCTCCTCCTCTCTTCCTTCCTGAAGCTTCTGGTTCTCTTTCTCATTCTGCCCCTGGGTCCCAGGCTGAATATACCCAGCCCGGGGTGTGCCCTTGGAATGGGATGGTTTTGGCATCCGTCCTTCCTGTGTTTGGCAAGTCTTGGACTTGTGGAACCAGCCATGCCACTCTCCTGGGCCAAGGAGAAGTGTGTATGATGAGGGCCCCTCTGGGGCAGGGTGTTGATGCTACCGATAGGAGGTGGGCAGATGGGTAGGTGGGGGATGGAGTTAGGGAGAGGGTGAGACCCCTTGGGGGATACGTACCTGAAGGTCACGAGGTCCCCGGATCCCGCCTCATTAATTCCCCCTTGTTTCTGCCTCTCCTCATGCTCAGTAACGTCATCCTGTTCCCCTGGGAACAACAGCAGGCCATCTTCTCCCGGCTCAGGACTCCAGGCCAGCAGCCCCACTGCATCTCAAAATAACTCCAAAGCGGCCGTGAACTCCTCCTCCAGTTTTAACTCTTCAGGGTAAGGCAGAGGAAAGAGCGCACCATGACACCTCTGCCAGGGCCAGGGGACATGTGAGAAGCTGCATCTGGGGGTCAACACCTTGGGGAAGAAGGCTTGTCACGGGGGAGGCAGGGAGAGGGTGGGGTGGTGAGCCAGACTGGACTGTATCCCTTGGGAGTGGGATTTAAAAGAGAAGCCTCAGCCAGTCCTGGCAAGGAGCTGATGTCAACAAAGCCAAAATTTCCATCCTCACTGGGAGGGTGGAAATTTCCAAACACTCCTGTCAGAAAGGGCCAGGTCCTTCGTTGGGCTTCGGAGAACTCCCCTTCACGCCAGTTCCAGCTGCAATGGGGGCGTTCAGCCCCGAGCCTGAGCTTCCCTGTGTAGCTGACGCCCAGGGAGAGGGGAGGGGTGCTCCATCCTAATCTTGTGCTCCCACTCGGGATGCAATGACAGAAGCAGCCTCCAGAGCCTTGATTCTCCTCTAAAAAGTGTTCCCAGAGTGGAGCCTCAAGAGGTTTCTTCCCCAGTTCAGAACAAAACAAGAGATTTGCAAGTCAGGCAATTAAAGACCTGAGCTTGTTTGAAGAAATGAACCCGTTTGTCCAAACCCAAACTGTTTGGCAAGGCAGCCAGCTCTTAAGGGCCAACTGTTGCATACCCCCAAAGCTTGGAGCTCCTCAACCACCCCCACCAAAAAGAAGAGAGGAAAACATATTAATGGACATTAAAAAAAAATTGTTCTGGGATATAATTCACATTCCATAAAAATTACCAATTTAAAGTTTACAAGTCAGTGCTTTTTAGTATATTCACAGGATGGTGCAATTGTTGCCATATCTGATTCTAGAACATTTTCAGCACCCCTAGAAAAAAAACCCTATATGTTCCTGCTAGTGCTCACTGCTCATTCACGTCTTTCCTAGTGGTTAGAAGCTGTCTGACTGACTCGTTCCTTTCTTCCTTCTAGATCTTGGTATCGATGGAGTCATCCCACCTACCTCCACTGAGACCAAAAAGTTTCTCCTCTGACACCTGGCCCTGTATTCCCCACCAGAAGGAAGGGAGTCATGCCTTCTCTGTATGGACAGATTACTTTCAGGAGAGAGAGTGGAAGAGGATGAACCCAAACTCTTGTCTTCTTCTTCGGAGCAAGGGCCTCCAGAGATCCAAACTGTGATTAAACTGTGTGCTGATTCCTAGCGCTCTTGAAACGCACATCCCTCCTAGGAGTTGGTCATTTTTACCTTCCTCGCCTGCACCCTTCTCTAAATATTTCAGACAGTTTCCCTGCTGCAGTGGCCTTTGAAAAAGGACTTTTTATTATTCTCCAGCTCGTCTCCAGTTCATTCTGGGCACAGCCATTCACCTGGTGCCAAACTACCAGAGGGGAGAGAACGGGTTTTGACTCTGAACTTAGCCACAGTCCGAGAACTGATTCTAGAATCTGTGAAAAGATTTGAATCTGATGTCTCCACCAAAGCGTTGATGTTTTTTTCTGTTCGGCCAAGTTTTCATTTCACCCCACTTTCTCTTTAGCCCCGCCCCCTTTTCTAGAACCAAATCCATTCATAATCGTGTTCTCCAAATTCCCTCCTCTTTCCTCAGTCCCCTGGGCATATCTCTCTGCCCACAGGTGCTCTTCTCTCTGCTTTGTCTGCCCCAGAGTTCAGGAGCACTTGTCTCTTCTCTCCTTCCCTGTGTTTCTCCTTCTCTCCTCCTCTTGCCTGTCTCCTGTTGCAGAAGGAGGAACACAAAAGCAAACACACAACAATTATGCTGGCAACATACCTGTATATAGCCCTTTCCTTTTTTTGAATTATGTTAATCTCTCCTTAATGTGGAATTTTCCAGCAAAATGTTTAACTCAGGTGTGAATTTTGAAGATGTCTCTGTAATATATTATCTTCTTTAACAAAAAAGAAAGAAAAAAAATACCAAAGTGTGAACTACTGTGCTAGCTTCCACAGGAGTTCTCATGTGGGCTGGGAATCATTGTTGATTTTTGCAGGAACATTCTTTCTCCAGTCTCTTTCTTTGTGGGCCAGTGTGTAGACCTGTAACATGAAGCCACTGTAGAAATGGTTGCTTTTTTTTTTTTTTTAAAGACTGCGTATCCAAGAAAATGTTGAGATTCAAAGGAATCTCTCTGTTCCTAAATAAATTTGTATAGTGATATATACAGTATTCCACTATTGGTAAGAAGCTACTACTACTAAGTCGCTTCAGCCGTGTCCGACTCTGTGCGACCCCATAGATGGCAGCCCACCAGGCTCCTCTGTCCCTGGGATTCTCCAGGCAAGAACATTGGAGTGGGTTACCATTTCCTTCTGTGATGCATGCTAAGTCGCTTCAGTCATGTCTGACTCTGTGCGACCCTATGGACAGCAGCCCACCAGGCTCCTCTGTCCATGGGATTCTCTAGGCAAGAATACTGGAGTGTGTTGCCATTTCTTTCTCCAATTGGTAAGAAGTTTAGATTATTCTGTGTCTTTTGTTGTGGGGGAATGTAAATGCAAATAATGAAACAGGATGGATAAAGTGTTTCAAATTGGTGGGTTAATTTATTACTTCCCCAACTGATGCTGAAGATGACATACATTAATAGAGGGCTCTGGATAGTTCAGAGATTCTACTCTTTTTGACTGAACAACCTTGAGGAAAGTGTAGGTAAGAGATTGGCTTCCTCATTTTGTAAGTGGGAGAATGGTAAACGTGTAAGGTCAAGTTGTTTGGAGACTTATGAGGTGAAGTCTGGGGTTTATAGCTCATATCTCAGAAATCCAAAAGGTCATGAAAGTGATAGATATTTGAGACAAGGGATGATTCAAAAGTCAAGTATATTTGGCTTTTGAATGCACTGTGACTTTTGATGAAGCAGTTGAGACGCAAGGAAGCTATCCTTGTGGTCTTTCTTGGGTTAATAAAAATTTAAATGGCTAGCATTTTTGAGGCAAACATTGACCTGTAAGAAAAGGAGACCCTTCAAAAATGTAATGACTGAAGGGAAGAAACGAAAATTAGCATTAAACATTTGTTGCAAATAGTAATATCCGAAGGGGAAATCTATATGCAAATAACCACAAATTAACTGGGGTTTTTTTGGATGGGGCTTATATTAAACGTAATATTTCGTGTGGTGAAGTGGGAGAAAGCCTATTGGTAGTAGTTACTTAGTCAAGAAAAGATCTAGTTGAAAGGAGCTAGGTATGCACCAAGGAGATAAGAGGAGCCTGCAGCAATAATTTAATTGTATAAACTACTCTGCCACCCATAGGCCCACCTGTGCATACACACGTGCGTGTGCACTGTTCTTTGTGTACTCGTGGGTGCCAGAGTAGACACTTTCCTGCAGCAGTACTGGCTACTTTGATACCTTGTTCAGGTGAGTGCTGAAAGTTGATGACCTGCACTGTCCTTGAGTCTGGTGTTCACTCATTTGACCCTTCAACAAATATTTTATTTTTTCAGAGCAGTTTTAGGTTTACAGCAAAATTAAGAGGAAGCTACAGAGATTTCTTGTACACCTCTTGCCCCCATATATTCATAGCTTTCCCCATTATCAACGTCATTCACGAGAAAGTAATTTTTTTTTTTTTTTTACCAAGAATGAATCTACCCTGACACATCACAATCACCCAAAGTCCAGCATTAAACATTTGTTAGCTTACCTTGGAGTTCTCTCTAGATGTCATACCTTCTCTAGGTTTGGAGAAAAGTACAATGATGCGTATCCATCATTATAATATCATATGAGTATTTTTCACTGCCCTAACAACCCTCTGTGCTCTACCTATTCATCTCTCCCTGCCACACCCTTACAGCCTTTTTACTGTTGCAATAATTTTGCCTTTTCCAGAATGTCACATGGTTGGAATCATAGTATATAGCCTTTCCAGATAGGCTTATTTCAATTAGTAATATGCATTTAACTTTCTTTCATGTCTTTTCATGAGCTTGCTAGCTCATTTCTTTTTAATGCTGAATAATATCCTAATGTCTGGATGTACCACAGTTTATTTATTCGTTTACCTACCAAAGGACATCTTGGTTGCTTCCAAATTTTGGCAATTATGAATAAAGCTGCTATAAATATCTGTGAACAGGTTTTTGTGTAGTCATAAATTTTCAGTTCATTTAGGCAAATACCAAGGAGTGTGATTGCCAGATTGTGAGTACATTTAGTTTTGTAAGAAACCACCAAACTGTCTTCCCAAGTGGCTGTACCACTTTGCATCCTCACCAGCAATGTTATTAGAGTTCCTATTGCTCTGCATCCTTGCTAGCCTTTGTTGTCAGTGTTTGGGATTTTGGTCATTTTAATAGGAATACAGTGGTATCTCATTGTTGTTTTAATTTGCATATCCCTGATGATATGATGTGGAACAACTTTTCATCTGTGTATCTTCTCTGGGGAGATGTCTATTAAGATCTTTGGCTCATTTTTAAATCAAGGTGTCTGTTTTTTTACTGTTGAGTTTTAACAGTTTTTTGTATATTTTGGATAACAGTCCTTTATCAGATGTGTCTTTTGCAAATATTTTCCCCAAGTCTGTGATTTCTCTTCTCATTCTCTTGATGTTGTCTTTTGCAGAACAGAAATCTTTCATTTTAGTGATGTCCAGCTTGTTAATTATTTCTTTCATGGTCTGTCTCTGGTGGTGTGTCTAAAAAGGCAACACCATACCCAGCATCATTTAGGGTTCCTCCTATGCTATCTTCTAAAAGCGGTTCCCAACCTTTTCAGAACCAGGAACCAGTTTCATGGAAGACAATTTTTCCATGGACCAAGGGGGAGCGAATGGTATGATTACCATCATGGTATATCAGGATGATTCAAGCACATTATATTTATTGCACAGTTTACTTCTACTATTATTATTATATCAGCTCCACTTCAGATCATCAGGCATTAGATCCTGGAGGTTGGGGACCTCTGTTCCAGGAGTTTTATAGCTTTGTGTTTTACATTTAGGCCTGTGATCATTTTGAGTTAAGTTTTGTGACGGTGTAAGGTCTGAGTCTAGGTTCATTTTTTCACATGTGGATGTCCAGTTGTCCCAGCTCCATCTGTTGAAGACACTATCATTATCCTATTGTATTGCCTTTGCTCCTTTGTCAAAAATCAGTTGACTATATTTATGGGGGTCTATTTCTGGGCTATTTGACTATGGTTTTTATAAAAGAAATAAACAGAATTGTAGTCAACCTGCTCAGCCTCCTGTAGCTTCCATTAACTGTTGCCTTGGAATGTTGCTGAACAGACTCAAGCCTAAAAGGGGGTACCAATTCACTTTTCATGTCTGCAAGATCCTGTAAAACTCATCATTCCAGTCAAGTTTAACTGAAGCCTGGTTAGCTTCGTCAGCATCTAATTAGGCACAAGAGAATCAAAGGGCAACAACCAGTCATTGTCTAAGAGGAAAGAAAGGGAAAACGAATTGTTGCTGCTGTTTTTTGAACTATCAAACTTTGATCTTTAGTTGACTCAAGACTGATGGGCTCAGCTGTGGGCTCCTAATACTAAGAGCTTTTGGTCCAACTGTGAGGATGAGTTTAGTTGCAGACTCAAATTAAGAATCCTGTCCCGGAGCTCAACCCAGTGTTCTGTGACAACCTAGAGTGGTGGGGAGGGGAGGGAGATGGGAGACGGTTCAGGAGAGAGTGGATATATGTAGCTGAGTCCTGTTGATGTGTGGCAGAGGCTAACACAATATTGCAGAGCAATTGTCCTCCAATAATTGTTTTTTATCCTATACCTCTCAATATTGTACAATTATAATCTTTGATAAATGTCCTGTTCTGAGCCCCCAGATTGCCGGCTCAGTGCCCCTCCCCTCTGTGCACTCTGCTTCCCCTGGCTACGTTCATGGACTGTGTTTGCTGACTCTTCTGTTTTCCTGATAGACTGTGGGGAGCTCCTTGTAGCTGTCTGTCTTTTTCTCTGTATCCTCATGACTATACGCAAATATAGTGTGTGACAAGGCCACAATAGGCAATTCAGGTTTTCAAAACTTGAATTCTTTCTTTTAACCTCTAAACAACTTCTAATAGGAGCTGTGAATGAAGAATGCATTGTACCATCTTGTAGGAGACTCTAGGGGAGTGGAGGCCACCTACCTTTGTGGTTAAGAGTATGACCTCCAAGGCCATATTCCTGGGTTCATTACCCAAATCTGCCTCCTACTAATCATGTCACTTTGGGCAATTTCCTTCAGTGCTCTGTGACTCAGTTTCTCACCTGTAAAATGGGGATAACAACAATATCCATCTCCAAGAGTTGTTGTGAGAATTAATGACTTAATATGTATATATATGTAAAGTGCCTGGAACAATGCTTGATACATTAATAAGTGTTATCTGTTATTATTGTGATTATTATGATTATGATTGTTATTATTAGTAAAATAAATGGGTGGAGAGCTTCCTATTCCCTGAACAGGCTAGAACTTTCCTGGGGAATGCCATGGTTGACAAGCCTGTGATTTGGTGGAACAAGGATTATGGCCAAGATACATGAATTAATGAAATTTAATCCCAGGTAATGGAGTTTGAACCTGGAATCCCAGCCACCCCAGGATAAAGGTCCAATATAGGCTCAACTGGAAGAACTAGCACTTTCCCTTAGGCCCTCAGCCATTAGACTCCTGAAGCCTTTAATTCATATTCTGTTCTTTCCTGGGAAATGGTGGCAGCAAGAAGATAATTCCAGATTCAGATACTAGAAGAACTGTAAGAAAAACAAGTGGGGAAAAGTTGAGATATGCATACAATCTATTCATTTAGTGAAATGGATCTCTCCTTGTTTTCTTTCTTCAACCTATTATTATTACTTATCTGGTCTATTCCAATCCACTTGTGACAGGTTGTCTTCTCCAATTCATCTTATACTGATTTTCATTGAGTATCTATATAGCAATGATCCTCAACTTTGCTTACACAATTGAATTATCCAGGAAACTTAAAAAAAATTGACACACACAGATTCTGATTTACTTTGCCTGGGATGTGGCCCAGGGAAATGGGACTTTCAAAAACTCCTCAGGTGAGTCTGTTGTACTGTCATGGTTGAGATCTGCTGCCTGAATGTGCATACAGATCACTGGGGACTTTGTTAAAAATGCAGATTTGATTCAGTAGATACAGGGTTAGAGTCTGAGAATTTGTGTTTTTAACAAACTCTCAGGTAATACAGATTGGAGTAGCAAGGACTTGAGAACATGATAAAATTATTCCCTTGCCCAAAATCATCGTGGGTTTCCTGTTATCTGCATAATATAATGCCTCAGCCTGGCATCCTAGGCTAGCATCAGTAATGAAGGTCCTCGGGGGAGGAGCCAAGATGGCGGAGGAATAGGACCGGGAGACCACTTTCTCCCCTACAAATTCATCAAAAGAGCATTTGAACGCCGAGCAAACTTCACAAAACAACTTCTGACCGCTAGCAATAATGAAAGGTCCTCTAACATCAGTGCTTCCCAAATATGACTAATCATCTGAATGATCTATGAGCAGGTTTTAATAAATATAGATTCCTGAACCTCACGCTAAGCCTATTAAAGCACAACCTTCAAGCAGCCTGAACAAAGGGTATTTTGAAAACACTTCCCAAGTGATCTAGAGGGGCATTCAGATTTAGGAGCGCCAGTATGCTTCCAATATACATTTGCAGGCTCACTTCCCATTCATTCAAGCAGCAAGAATTTATTGCACCTGCCTTTGTACCAGGTAGGGGTGTCAGGGAAACAAAGATGAAAAGAGTGTGATCCTGATTCTTAAGGGGCTGGCAAAACAAATGACCCAAACTATTTACTATTCCCCAAGCATAGCCTAAAGGCTCACACTTCTGCTCAAGGTCTTCTCTTCTTAAGAATATTTGGGCCCCTCACAGCATCCTATCATTGCCTGTCTTGATCAACCAAACCAGATGCCCTCTTTTTAAAAATTAATTAATGGATTTGGCTGCACTGGGTCTTAGTTGCAACAGTCGGGATCCTTAGTTGTGGCATGTGGGATCTAGTTCCTTGACCAAGGATTGAACCAAGGCCCCCTGCATTGAGAACATGGAGTCTTGACCACTGGACCAATAGGGAAGCCCCTTAGATGTCCTGTTTATCCCATTTGCATCACCACACTTTCATTTAGCTGTCTCTTCAAATTCACTTTCCTTAGTATCAAAACAGATTCAGAGAAGAGAGAGGATTAACCCAAAGTGAGATAATAACAACAATAATTAACATTTATATAACATGTGCCAGGCATTCTGTAGGCACTTTACACATGTCAAGTGTAATAACCCAATGAGACAGCTATTATTATTACTACCCCCATTCTGTGGATGAGAAAACAGAGGCACAGAAGTGAGATAATAACAACAATAATTAACATTTATATAACATGTGCCAGGCATTCTGTAGGCACTTTACACATGTCAAGTGTAATAACCCAATGAGACAGCTATTATTATTACTACCCCCATTCTGTGGATGAGAAAACAGAGGCACAGAAAAGTTAAGTAACTTGTTCAAAGATACACAGTCAGTAACCAAGCCGGATTTACTCTCAAAGCCTTACTCTCTACTGCCAAGGTGAGAGGGCTGACCCGAGAAGGAATAGATAACCTCTGAGTTTCAGGCCTGAGCACTTTCCTGGAAATCAGTTATTTGTGTGCCTGTTTAACTTAAACGCAAAAGTGAAATCTCCTACAGATCCTAGTAGGGGTGTAAGCACTTAGAAGGCGCTTTCCAACTGGTTATGGGATGAACCGTCCATCGTGGGGGCAGGGGATGCGTGAGTGTTCTAACAAAGACAACAAACCAACAAGTAAGCAAGGACAACAGTCTGCAGGTCTCACGTCACTATTATGTCATTATCACCCCTCACACCCCCGCCCCTCGCCTCCCCAGGCCTGCGTGACGAAGAGGGGATCCTCCCGGCCGCTTTCTGCACAGTCCCGGGTCCAGCTCTGGCTGTGCGCTCCGTCCTCCCAGCCAGCAGGTGCCCCCAGACCCCCGGCTCCTCCTCTGCCGCTGTCAGAGCCTCGTCCTCCCTTCCCTCTTTCCGCTGCTTCCTGCTCCCGGGGATCCCGGTCCTGAGCTCTGGGGCCGAGGCGCCCGAGGCTTTCCAGGGCGCTGGACCAGGTAACTGCGCTGCGCGAACCGCCCGGCTCCGGCGGCCGGCTTGGGCTCTGGACGTGGGTGGCCTGGCTTGTCCGGCCCGCTGAGGGGGGGGAGGGTGGGAGAAGGAAGCCGGCAGATGGCCTGGCCTGGCCTCTGAGGGGAGAGGGCCTCCTTCTGCCTTTGGGCGCCGATGGGATACCGGCATAACGGTCCGGCTGGCTCAGGTGCGCCGCAGCCGGGCGTGGCCGCCGCGTAGGTAGGCACATCCCGGGGAGATGCGCTCGCAGTGCCTGCCAGGCGCCGAGGTTGCCGCTGGCCCCAGCCACGCCTGCTCCGAGGCCCAGAGCCAGGTGGGCCCGCCCAGCGCTCCTCCTCCAGAATCTGGCCCTGGACAGGGAGGAGCGAGGACTGGAGCCTTGGGATTCTGAGCTGAAACGGCCATCGACCATCTAAATACCCTGCCATCTTTTCCCCCAAGAGTGAAAAGCCCAAACGCGGAGATGGAGTGACATTCCCAAGGTCACAGCGTTGCCATTTCCGGATGTCTATTCTTTTATTTGTTTGTAAATGGGCTACTGTTCCCTCTGTTCTGCCAGGGAATTAGGATTCAGGGAAGAAGACTCTAAAAATACTAATCGGCATAACCAAAAGAGCTGATCCGTATTACTCTGGCTGGTGACCTGGCCTTTAAAAGGAAGTGAGAGAGGACGGTTCTTTTCACTCTGGGTCCTTTGTACTTCTGACTCTTGCTCAGAAAATTGGCCTGGAAGCTTTACGAAATTCTCAAAACTCCTTGTCAGAACTGGGCTGGCTATTTATAGAGTTTTATCGGTCAATTCTACCTCTCTTTAACTGAAGCTCGAGAGGTGAAAGTGATTGGTCCACACACTGATAGCTATTTAGGGGCAGAAACAGAATTGGAACTCAGGTCAGTGGTTGACACCTGCTGTTTTCTTGAGTAAAAATCTGGTTTCAGATGAAAGCTGTACTGCACTTGACCTTCATAAAGCCCTCTTGGGATAGCATTCTTGGGAGTGGCTTGTGTACTGATGTGTGTTGGTCCACAGATACTATTTCACTTGTCAGAATAGGGTTAAGCAGTGAGTGTAGCCATGCAGAAACTTCCTGCTGAGATGAGACCGATATCTGGAATGTTTTTTTTTAACTTTTTTATTTGTACTTTCAGTAGAGGGACTAATGAATATTAATAAGGACATCTTGGTTATTTTCAGATTTTCGCCCTGTCTGACTCTATTGACTCCATTATTCTCATTTCTGTCCTGGTATATTTATCACCAGTAAAAATGTCAAAAAGTGTAGCTTTCTAACTTTGTTTCATTTTTAACTGAATAATTTCCTTAAAGATATTTTTATATATTAACAAAAACTCCCCACTTGTACCTCAAAATCCTGCTTCCCTCTTGGTCAGTTTTTGAGTTGAGAATAGAACTAGCTTCTTTTTTTTTCCCTTCCAAAATATCTCTTGTTTAGTTCCATCTTCAGGTTTAGCTCATTTTGATTTTGACTGGTAAACCCATAATTCAAACCCAAACTTCAGTTTAGTATCAGTTTAAAACCACATTAAACTCTCATGTGTCATATGACTTCTAGCAGAGACCACAAGTGGTGGAGGTGTTTTTTCATGAGAGCTTCTTAGTGGGATTTTTGAAATATGAACACATCTAATACATGTATTATATTACTTGTGTCTCGTAGTCCAAGGTCAGTTATCACTGGGAGGTTATTGACATTTATTCATCATTACGACACGTTATATTAGACTGTCTGCTAACTCAGAATGCAGTTCCTGCTTTTCAGTTTACAGTTATGACCAGTTATCTCTAAGGAACACGCAATCAGAATTATAGCCACACTTCAGTGGAAGATTCTTGGCAATGTAGATAAGGAAAAAGTATTTCTGTGAAGGCAATATTTTTGTACTGTCTTACAGTAGAAATGAAGACATATACTCAGTATGACCCAATGCTGTTTTCTTAGGGTGCGTTCTTTGTTTTTCCGGTCTTGGTCTTTTCCTCGTAGGATGGCCTTAGCTCTGTGTCTGCGGGCACTGTGCAGCCTGGCAGGCTGGCTCTCGCTCTACGGTTCTTTCTGTCGCCTGAATAAGCACCGAAGCTATGAGTGGAACTGCCGGCTGGTTACGTTCACCCACGGAATCCTCTCGATAGGTCTTTCAGCTTATATTGGCTTCATTGATGGCCCTTGGCCTTTTACCCACCCAGGTATGTGGGAGACGTTAGAGAATCTTCCCTTAGGAATTTATGATTTGGAGGTAGTCTTAGAAGGATGGGAGTTTTCCACAGAATTTGGATAATACTGAAGAATATTGAAGAATAATTACTATTATAATGTGGTGTGGGAGTCTTCATTCATCTTCATTGTGAATTCTGATATTGTATGCATCACCTTTTCTTTCTGCTTTTCATAACTCTATTTTAAAAATAATTTTAATTGCTTAATTGATCAAAATGTATAAATTATAAAAGCAATATTAACATTTTCTACCACCACCCCCAGACAGACAATAATGGACTGTATAATACATACTTTTTGGTAACCTGCAACTTTTACTTGATTGTATATTCAAAGGACATCATCTTTCCATGTCTATGTGTATAGATCTTCCTTATCCTTTTCAGTTATTATAGAATATTGTATGCATTTGCTAACCTTTATTTAACCAATGCCTCATTATTAGGGGTAGCTGTATTAATTTTTAAGCTGCCAGATGTGTTTCTAAGTGTTCCTTAGAATATAAAACCTGTATCCCCTTGAATTAGTTTGCTGGGGTTTATTACAGACTGGGTAGCTTAAATGACAAAGATTGATTTTCTCACAATTCTGGAGGCTAGAAGTCCAAGATCAAGTTGGTGCATTTGATTTCTTCTAAGGCTTCCCCTCCTTTGCATGCAGATAGCTGCCTTCTTGCTGTCTTCACATGGTCTTTTGTGTCTAGTGTCCTCATTTTATAAGAACACCACCCTAATGACTCTATTTTAATTTAATTACCTCTTCAAAGGTCCTATCTGCAAATATAGTCATATTTTGAGGTTCTGGGGTTCAGCCCTTCAACATATGGATTTTGTGGGGACATAGTTCAATCTGTAAGTTCCCTGGAATATGATTTTTTAAAAAAATTCCTTATATTCTTTTTCTAATTTCTTTATATTCCCATATTGAGTTTCTGAATTTCCTCCCCAAACTATCAAACTGATAAGAAGCAATGCTTAAGCTTTATGTTTTACATGAAGGTTCTTAATAGATTCAAACATGTCATGTCCTTGCACCCTATGTTCTTGCATATGGGAACATACTAACTTTGGGGGTTCTCTCCAGAGTCCACTTTCAAAACAAGTTAGGGCCACCAGTATCCAATAATCTAACCCATTAAGCTAAGAAATTAATCTGACATTTGGGACAGAGTAACATTTCCATTATGGTTTATTATAGGATATTGAATATTGTCCCTTTGCTATACAGTAGGATCTTGTTTTTTGTCCATTCCATATATGATAGTTTGCATTTGCTAGTGGGATAGAATAACTGAGTCTGGAAGCAGACTTTAAGCTGGTTAAAAAAAAAAAGAGACTGTGTAGGATTTTAATTGAAAGAACAAAATAACTCGATTTTATGCTGCTACACAGAGAGGATGCTGGATCATTGCTGGTGTTTGAATCACTCACTGAGATCTGATGCATCAGAATAGCATGTCCTGGGGCCTGTAACATTGGTTTGATAGAGACCAAAGTTTTAGATTTTAGTCTTTTTTTTTTTTTTGGTTGTCTCTAAAAAGCATGTGCCTGCCATTGCTTTTGTTTTCAGTGATTCCAAAAGGTTTGAGAAAGAGCATCACAGGATCCCTGTGTAAGCCAGCACAATTCCTAGCCACTCAATTTGCTTCTGTCTTGGTTTACACAGGATCCCTGTGTAAGCCAGCACAATTCCTAGCCACTCAATTTGCTTCTGTCTTGGTTTATTTCAGGCTCACCCAATACACCTCTCCAAGTGCACGTTCTGTGTCTCACCTTGGGCTACTTCATCTTCGACTTGGGCTGGTGCATCTACTTCCGGTCTGAGGGGCCTCTGATGCTGGCTCACCACACACTGAGTATCTTGGGCATCGTCGTGGCCCTGGTGCTTGGAGAGTCAGGCACAGAGGTCAATGCGGTCCTCTTTGGAAGCGAGATTACCAACCCCCTGCTACAGATGCGCTGGTTTCTTCGTGAAACAGGCCATTACCATAGTTTCACTGGAGACGTGGTGGATTTCCTCTTTGTGGCGCTGTTCACTGGAGTGAGGATTGGCGTGGGAGCTTGCCTCCTCTTCTGTGAAATGGTCTCACCCACGCCCAAGTGGTTTGTGAAGGTCGGGGGAGTAGCGATGTATGTGGTGTCTTGGTGTTTCATGTTTAGCATCTGGCGCTTTGCATGGAGGAAAAGCATCAAGAAGTACCACACCTGGAGAAGCAGGTGGAGTGAGGAGTGGCAGCTCAGACTTAATGGACATCTCAAGACACACTAGCCAAGGCTTGCTCTGGACAATGGATTAGGTTTAGTTAGCCACGAGAACCAGGTTGGATATATGGCTGTTACAGAATCGTGCTTGTTACAAACTTAGATCACAAAAAAGGGCTAAATTTATTGATTGGTTTGAAAGTCAGTCTTGGAGCAGAACACATTCCAGTATTAAAATGCTGACTTCTGCAGGAGCACAGCTATGGAAAGTGAGACTACCAGCAGTAGTTTCGAGTCAGAGCTGTGAGATGAGTGTGCTGCATTCCTTGTAGGTTGTGGTGACCCTGGCTCTTCTGTCCCTGGGAGGCTTGATGACCAGACAGCTTAGAAAGGAACTCAAAAACATTAGTGCAATTTCTTCCTTATTCCTTTGAATAAACAAATTTTATTCCTGGCTTCTGTGTAGCAGCTTAAAGAAATGCACCCCATTTACTATAAAGTGAGGGACTTTCAGGAAGTCACTTGGATCAGGAAATTGAGAGCAGGATGGGGGGTGAAACCATGACAGTGGTGGGGGGCTACTTCCTGAGTCTCCCTATGCCATATACTTGGTATATACCATATAGGACTCCCTGTACTTGGGGGTCCCCAAGTACATACCTTTAGGCATGGCGCTTCACTAGGGAGACTCACAGGACACAGCACTTTGTTGTCCTTAGAGCTTTGATTTATTACAGCAAAAGGATACAATGAAAAATCAGCCAAAGGAAAAGGCACCTGGAGCAGAGTACAGGGGAAACCAGCCCCAAGCTTCCAGAGCCCTCTCCCAGTGGGATCATGTAGGATGTGCTAGTTCCTCTAGCAATGATCTGTTTAAAGTATATATGAAATGTCTAGAAGAAAGCTTGTGGGAGACTCGTATCTGAGGTTTCACCTGGGGGCTGGTGCTATAGGCAGTCTTTCCATGGTGTGCAAAAGTCAGCCTTTTCCTGACTCCCAGAAGGAAAGGAGGTTTTTGCCATGAACCACATTGTTTGTGCAGTTCAGAGTCAGTGAGCCAGTCTCATCAGTTCATGTGGGAACCTTCCTGACGAAATCTAAGTCCCTGGATGCTGGCCAAGGGCCAACCTTGCAGACAGCCCTTTCCAGGCCTGCTCTATTAACTCTTTTCTGCACAAAAGCCATAGAGCTAGAGCTTCGGATGAGAGATGAATGAGGTGTGGGCAGATTTACCGAGTCCTGTTGTACGGGTTCTGCCCTACCAGGAAAACTATGCCAGTTCTCAGGGCTTTTGTGCATTAATCTCCTAGGCATGAGAGGCTGTGACTAAATTCCGCAGGGATTTACCATGTAGATTCCACTGGGCTTGAGATGCCAGTTCAGGTTTCAGCTCTGCTATACATACTGCAAACCAGAACCAAAGACCAAATGTCCTGGCCTCAGGGTGATGAGGCTGGTTTTTTTTTTTTTTTTCCATTTCAGATACATTCCCTGTTCATCTTGTTACTACTTTTTCTCTGGAAAAGGTGCCACTCTCTCTGAACAGTATATTATGAAAAAGCCAATGTTAGAAGGAAAAAAGTATTTCTTAGTCAATAGTCTCTCATCTTACCTAGGAAAAGCAAGAACACAAGGGTAGTAAAAGGGCTTAGGAAGTGAGAATTCTTAGGTTCTTTGAAGTAATTTGTCTACTCACCTGCCAGCTCCTTTGGGGCAAGTCACTTGTTTACTCTTTGCCTCTGTTTGAACCCTACTGTCAGTAAACGAAATACCCTATTGCATATTTCATAGAGACATTAGGTGGCTTTTCATTAATGAAGGTGTTTAATGTAGGACTTTTATGGGAAAAAATGAAAGTTTTATTTGTTTGTTTGTTTTTTATTATTTAGTCAGTTGTGTTGTTGAGACCATGTAGTGGCGACCATGTAGCTTAGCTGATGAACAAGGGTCTGGGGCTGTTGAAGTCAGGGCTGGAGGTCAGTAAGAAGTGTCAGCCCATTCTATGGTCACTGGTAATCCTAGCCTAATGAGTGGTTCTTGAAAATGGACATCATTGTCCAGGCATGAGTGGTTGGAACCGAATGAGGTCATCATTGCTCTGGGAAAAAACAGCTTTAAAGGCATGTTAACTATGGGTCTTTTAAAATGATTGTCATTTGGTTAAGGAGAGTTGCTGGACATGAGAATAATCTGACAGTAGCATCCCCAACTCCTTTTTTTCTATGACCCATATCCCTGAAATGCTGGTTAGCTTCTTTCCAATAAGATTGTGGTCAAAGTAGGATGTTAGGGAATGCTGATCTTAGCAAAAGCCTAGTTAAAAAATCGTGGCTTGGCACCAAAAAAAAAAAGGAAGAAAAAAGCCATTTCTTGAATTTTGGCATAGTGCAACCTGTCCCATACCAGACGAATGAATAGACTTAATCTGGTATCAGTTCTTTTCTCCTTATGCCTCAGAAGCAAAGGGATTGCAGACCTTGCTCTTTTAGGGAAATGTACTTAGATTTCTTGAATTTCAAGAAACCTAACTAATGATAAGGGAAGGAGAATCCCTCATTTTAGCTTTTTCTTGATGTTGTAGCTGATAACTCCAAAGGCAACTCGCTGAGACAAAACTGTGAAATGAAGGTGACTCAGCAGTTAAGATGCTGAGTTTGTCCATGACAGGTACCAAAGGGCTAATTAACATGTGGTATGGTCAGACACATGAAGTACTCATTTGCATTCAGATTACTATGTAATAATTATTAACACTGCTCAAGAAGAATTTATATTTCAATAAGATTTATACTAAATTTTATAAAAATAAACAACTTTTTATCAATCCAGGGTCTGGCTTTATGTCTTTTTTGTGGTTCTGCCAAGAAGCTTAAAAAAAAAAAAGGCTTCAGCCTGAAGAAAGGTTGAACCATATTTATACTTACTGGTAAAATACTTCTTAGCTGCTCTTATCCACCATTCTTAATACTGTTTATTTTTTGAGGCAACAATCTACATACAGAAAGCAGCTTGCCAAAAGGAGGAGGAAGAACTTAATTTCTTACTTTGCCACCTGTTTTAGTTGTTGTTCAGTCACTCAGTCGTGTCTGACTCTTTGCAACCCCATGAACTGCAGTATGCCAGGCTTCCTTGTCCTTCACCATCTCCCGGAGCTTGCTCAAACTCATGTCCATTGAGTCGGTGATGCCATCCAACCATCTTGTCCTCTATTGTCCCCTTCTCCTCCTGCCTTCAATCCTCAAAAGCATCAGTGTCTTTTCCAATGAGTCAGTTCTTTGAAGCAGGGGGCCAAAGGATTGGAGCTTCAGCTTCAGCATCAGTCCTTCCAATGTATATTCAGGGTTGATTGCCTTTATGATTGACTGGTTTGATCTCCTTGCAGTCCAAGGGACTCTCAAGAATCTTCTCCAATACCACAGTTCAAAAGCATCAAATCTTTGGTGCTTAGCCTTCTTTATGTTAGGCCTATTTGAGTAGTTGCCTTGAAAAAAATGATGTCCAGTTGGGTCCATGAAGACAGGGCCTTCTGCTCTCTTCAGACTCTGCTTTCAAAGACTGGAGCAGTGTTAGACACACAGTAGGTGCTCATTGTGTGCTCAGTCATGTCTGAGTCTTTGCAGCCCCAGGGATTGTAGGCCACCACACTCCTCTGTCCACTGGATTACCCAGGTAAGAATACTGGAGTGGAGTGCCATTTCCTCCTCTAGGGGGATCTTCCCAACCCAGGGATCAAACCCAAGTTTCTTACATCTCCTGCATTGGCAGGCAGTACTTTACCACTAGAGCCACTTGGAAAGCCAGCTGCTCAATAAGCAGCTTGAAAGAATGGATGAGGGCCTGGATAACCCCCCCACTGGAAAACCTCAAAGAGCATGCATAGTGGATAGGTGTCATCAATGCCATTTTTCTAGGTAAAAGACTAATGTCCCTGGGGAGTGTGTTCTGCCTAAATTGGTGTGACTATTGTGAAGGTATTCTATACACAGACTCTAGAATAGTCTAAAACTACCAACAGCTGTAAAGAGACTTTTGGGGACTTTTTTTTCTTTTTTTTACCATGAGAGCTTTGTGCGTGAATATAGAGATTTTCATTATTAAAAAAAAATAGCTCTGGAGTGAATAACCACTGGCTTAATTAAATCCTTTGCTTACCATCTTCCGAAGCTTTCCCACAGCAAATGGCCTCTTTGCTCACTGCTAGAACTTTGGGTCTGTTTAAGTTTGGAAAGATCTTGAAAGCAGCCTGCCAAGAGGTTTTGTATGCAAGGAAGAGAAGGTGAATTAGGAAACTTTCCCAGTTTGTTTTATTCCTGAAGCTTGTGGAGTGAGGCATTCTTGAAGGGAAGAAGGAAACTCATTTTTAAAATGCATGATTTGATGAGTCATTGGGTCCAATTAATTTGATACCCACGCTGTGAAATTGCTGGAGTAGGGCAGAAAAGATATGTAGTACGTCTGAAAGTTTGTGGATAAGGTTTGAATTTTGGTCGTTGTATACAGACTGATGAAGCTCTTTGCAGTTATCTATGGAAAATTCGCAATTTAATTAAGAGTTTTCAGGACAGAATTATCATGCTAGGGTACACCAGCAGGTGGCAATGTGTCCTGGTCTGATCATTAGGAAAGTGGCTTGGAACCCTATTCTGCTTCCATTCTTTCCCAAAATAAACATTACAAAATTAGTTGGCTGTGCCCTGGACTTAAAAAAAAAAAAAAAAAAAAATCGAGCAATAAAGAGTCATCTTTGGCCTCTGTTTATCTTTTTTTTTTTTTAACCCAGTTCTAACGTCAGCCTTAGCTCATGCATCTATTCAGGGATAATGATCCTTTCATGCACTGTTGCGGACTGACTTTGAGAAACAGCATTGTTAATAGGTAATTGTTTCCTTTCTCCACATCCAGTGTTTATTAGATTTGCTTTGCCACTTGATTTCCACAAAAAGGTTAAAGGCCCGTATCCACCAATACAGGTTTGAACCCGAAAGTCTGAAAATGGTTGTATGAAGAGACAGCCACTTCAGATGTTTGCAGGCGGAATGGAAGAAATATATTGTACATGGTACTTGAATCGCTACAATCCTGAGTTACGCAACCATAAAATTGGATGGGTGTCTAAACCTACTACCCAGTAGGAAAAAAAACATATATATATATTTGGGAACTCTTCAAAGAGAACTGTAATGTAACAGGATAAATAAACTGCCCCCCCCTCCCCCGCTCCCATTTCTTTCCACAGCAAGCTTGTTAAGCCGCTGTGGAAAGCACCATGCTTGCTCAATTTGGCAAATAACACATTTCATTTTGCCAAGGCAGAAGCAGCCTAAAAGCAACATTATACGAAGAAATCCTGGCTCCAATTCCCAAACTCTGTCTCCCCATTCCTATACACTTCCATCCTCCAACCCTCCACCGGCAGCCAAGACTTTTTTGCGTGGCAGCCCCTGCCCTGGGCCGAGGCCAGCAGGTGCCCCAGGTGAGCGGCCAAAGCCAAAATCTCTCTCTGCTGGGGTCTGATTCACGAGAGAGCAGCGGGGTCCGGGCAGCCAGACCTGAGTTTGCTTCCATTCGCCAAAAACAGTCTCTGTGTGTTATCAGAAAAGGAGAACAAGTATGCTCCCTTAAGGAACACAAGTTTCTAGGACAAGGTGGTGAGTAATTCCCAGAGCCTCTCTCATCCTCAGCTCCTCGGGACTGGGGGCGTGCTCTCTGGGGGAAAGCCGAGTTAGTGCGAGCTAGACCCCAAAGTAGCAACCTCCGGCATTCGTGGGTTCCCTAGGACAACCTTAGGTTGGCGCGTGGGACTCTCAGGGTCGCACGGTGCCCACCTCTTTCTGCCCCCGCAGAACTACTTTTTCGCTCCCCCCCCCACAGGACTCCGGCGGAGGCGTCCGCGCGGGGTCGGCGCGCACCCTCTGTGAGTGAGCGGCGGCGGCGCGTGAGCGGCGGCGGCGCGCGGGGTGGCGAGCGCGGGGGGCTGGGGCCGTCCCGTGCACCGCGGAGGGATCCCGGGTGAGGCGGCTTCCCGAAGTCAGAGGGGAGGAGGCCAAAAAAAGTCGGCGGGGGAGGGGAAGGGCGAGCGCTCGCGCTGGATGCGGCAGGGGCCGGGAAGGCAGAACCGGAACCGGAACCCGAGCGCGCGCCTGCGGTTGTCGCGCGGCGCCCGCCCCCCCACACCGCCGGCGGCCTCCTCCGCCCGCCGCGCGCGCTCCCGCGAGAGCCTCAGGACCGGGCGAGCCGGCCCTGCGTTCCGAGTCGCCGCGGTCGCCACCGGCCTCCCGGGCCGGTGCTTCCAGGCCGGGTCGGACGGGAACCTCCCGCCCCTCGCGGGAACCACCGCCTACCGGCGCGTCGGGGAGGAGCCACCGCCGCCGCCGCCGCCGCCTTCGCCGACCGCGGAAGAGCCCGGGCCTCCGAGGGATGGGGAGCAGCCCGCGGGGCTGAGAGACCAGGTTCCTGTCACCTCCGGCTGCGGGACCTCCTCCCCCGGCGCTCGTGCTCGTCCCGGCGCCCGGAGCTTGGTGGGGGGCGGCGAGGAAGACGAGAGGGGTCCCCCGGCCCGGGGCCATGGAGCCGCGCGCGGCTGACGCGGGGCGGCCCGAGACGCGGCCGAGACCGCGGCTACGAGCGGCCGGCTGCCACAGATAGAAAGCAGAAGCCAGCGGCCCCCGGCTCGGCGGCGGGGATTTGCAGGCCCCGGAGACCCCGACGAGGAGCCCATCCTGCCCCAGACCCGGAGGGACTCCTGAGGTCCCTTCCCTGCGCGGCTCGCCGACTTCTCTCCGTGACGAAGTTTTCTCCGGCGCTTTCCCAAGGATCGCTCCCTAGCTTTAGAACTCGCTTTCTGGCGGACTTGCTCGGTTTGTTTTGGGAGATAACTTGCTTCGCTCCCACCCACATCCCCTTTCCTTGACCCCTGCCAGTCGGATCTTCTAGATGACTGAATGGAGTTTTGAGTTGGACTCTGGTGTCCCCTACGGAGTCGGGCCTGATCCCGGAGCGCTGGGGGTGGGGTGGAGGTGTTACAGTAAAATGCAAGTTGGATAAAAGGAGGACCTCTCGCCAAGGGCCCCAATGAGTGGCACACAGTCTACTATCACCGACAGGTTGGTATGAAGCCCCCTCCGCCCCCCCGCCCTGCGCTTAGCCTCCCTGGATGGGGCCCCACCTAGCAGGAGAGTCAGGATTGACGATTGCCTTTGCCCAGTGAAGTTGACAGGCATCCGACGGAGGGTTGTTTCCGAGCTCTGCAGTTAGTCTGGGGTGGCTGCCAAGTTACTCGGTTGATTGAATTTGGAAATGTATTTTTTTTTTTCTGGAGAGAAACTTTTCCAGAGTGTTGGAGGAGGAGTAGGTAAAGCCACGATTGTGTTTTTCTGTCCGTAGTGGGCATTAGGATTCAGTACTGATTTTGGAAGCAGAGGAAGGTCATTTTGGGTGAAGGTCAGCGCCGGAGGTCTGCTGGGGTATTGGTCCCTCATAAGTTTAACTCCTGTCCTGTAGTTCCCTAGACTCTGTTGGATTTTAGGACTTTCTGTTTGTGAACTTCATTCTGAGACTACCGCATGATGATTTATGAAATTGATATCCTTGAAACATTGACTTGGACAATGTTTATTGTCTAATAGTTTTCCAGAATGTTGGAATTACCAGTAAGTCCCAGTCTCCTGGTGGGGACAATATCAAGGAACTAAGCGAACAAACAAACAAAAAATGGCAGGGGAACATCATGGGGCTTGATTTTAATTATTTCACTTTTAGGATTTCATTTACCAGAAACGTTTGCATTTAAGGGGTGTAGCGCCTAAGCGAATTATGTAGTAGAATCTGG